GAAAGGAAAACTTGAAATCGCATCATATGACCCCTTTAATAGATATTATCACACTCCATTGATAGGATGAAACTGATGAATGATAATTTATGTCGGAAATGCCATCTGGAAATAGACACCTTTCTCATTTGTATATGAAAATGTAGTCTTGTCAAACCATAAAACAACCATAATCGTTTATGGATGTATGGATGTATAAAAACATCCATAATTCTGGGTACAGGTTATGGATGTTTTAAGTTGCTGGTTTGGTTTCAGAATATACTTAATGTGTATCCTTCATCTGTTATGGTAGGTATACAACAACCAGTAGGATTATTTTAAGACACTGGAAGACAGTGAAAGCCCCAGAACTTAAAAAGTGGGCAAGTGCTCTGGTGGAAATTGAATTTATGCTCAGTAGAGTAAAATTTATGCTAGAGTGGAAGTGGTGATGCCACTCTGCAATGAGTTCTGGATGCATATAACAATTAAGCATCAGAATGAATAGACAGCAATTTTGTTTTTATCTTGTACCTCTTTTGTATTATTATTTTAAAGCATTCCTATAAACCCTTACTTTGATTGTATTGTTGTATGCTACTAAAAAACAAATAAAACAAACAACAACAAAAAACAATAACAAAACAAGTTACACTTCCTCCAAATTTCTAAGGTAGCCTACTTTTAGAGTATGGTGCTGATGACACAAAGTCTTGGAAAAATACAGATTTTACTGCAAAACTAAAACAGTACTACAGATGAATCAGGAACACAGAGTATTCACAATATGGCCCAATTTATTTTTCAGATCTAATGTACTGCTGTACCTGCTCAGGGCAGAGTGGTGATGCCATATATATCAAAGCATTAAAAACAGCTTCACTTGACGTTTCTGTTCTCTGACCAATTTGTTGACGCGTTATATAAGAACAGGTATACAAGTAAAGCTTTTAATAATTTTTGATCATGACATAGGGGGAGTTCAAAACAGCATGTTTTTATGGTAGAAATTCTGGCACATCAAAAGTTGAAATGAAACCTATAGTTGAAATCTATTCTGATTTATGATTTAGCATTTCAGACTGAAGATGAGGGCATTCATCAAACGCACCTGAGCTTCAGAGAATGGGGACTGCATGTTCTCCAGCAGACTGGCCAGATCCTGCTCACAGTAACTCATCACCAGAAAGAGGCTGCCGTGAAAAATAATAGGCCATTATGAAATAAGACATTCACAAATACACTAAATAGAAACCCGTTTATATCTGTAAGTGTACAGCATACAGTATATTTTCTTTAGTCACCTCTCCAGATGGCTTCCCACCACCACTTCTTTCAGCTCCACAATGTTTGGGTGTCTCAATCTGAGCAGCAAGTTAATTTCCCTCAAACTGCTGATGGGAATCCCTAAACACATATAGACAAAATAAACACAAATCAAGGTTTCTACAGATGTCAAATGTGGTTCAGGTCTTTACCTGAGTGCTGTCATTATGATTGTCAGTTGATTATATTAAATCAAGCTGGAACAAAAAGCACCATAAAAGAAATCCATATGACTTGTGTGCTATATTCCAAATATTCTTGAGTTATGTGATAGTTTTGTGTGTGGACACACATTTAATATATTGAATATCTTGCCTTTAGTCCTGACTATCAATCTTTCATTCACACTTTCACATTAAACACTCTCCTCCATGTTATTAACCCAAAAAAGTTGGCAGTGATCAAAACCTTTACCCATAGAGCTTGATCCTGGAGAATTAATTAATTATTTCAAATCTTCCATTTATATCGAAAGTATTAGAAAAAGTAGTGGTGTCACTCAACTGTTTATTTTTGCAGAGAAACAGTTTCATTGGAGCATTTTAGTAAGGATCCAGGCCTTATCGTAGTACAGTGACTGTGTTTTTTAAAGTTACAAACGGCCTGCACTTATCATCTGACCAAAGCTGCATCTCCGTTCTAGTACTGCTAGATCTTAGTACTGCCGTTAACATCATACACCACAACATTTTGTCTTGAGAATTATGTTGCACAGATCCTACCTATCTGATCAATACCAGTTTGTTTGTGCTAACAAAGAAATGTCAGAACAAGCACAGGTTAAGTATGGAGTGCCACAAGGATTGGTATTAGGTCCACTGCTTTTTTCATTGTATGCACTTCTCCTGAGGGAGATTATCAGGAAACATGGAATCACCTGTAAACAAGAGATGCTAGAATATTTATTATTAATATTTTTAAGTAATGTTATTGTCTCTACACTGGCTACCTCCCTCTCAGATGGAGCATCAACTTTAAGAAAATTACGTACAAAGCCTTGAATGGCCTAGTTTCGCAGTACTTTACACAATCTTCTATCATGATATAATCCTTTGCATGATATAATCCATCGTAATCACTACAGGTGCAAAATTCCGGCTTGTTGATAGTACGCTAGGTGCCGCCGCCTTGGTCAGTTTCACTTCCTTCACTAAACGTCTACAATCACAACCGGAGCCACGTGACTGCTGTAACTCAATGATTCATTTTCTGCACCCCTCTTTAACCTCATGAAGGACCCAAACTGTCACTATGTCTGCCTAATCTGTAAATCCGGGACAAAACTCAAAGAAAGTTTAATTTTCATAGTCTGAACAATATAGTGTACAGCCAGAGTTTTTTGTTCCTTGCCACGGTCACCTCTGGCCTGCTCACTGAGGGATTAAAGACTGAAATACTACTACAGCTCCATGATTAAAATACTTCAACCTCTAATCTTATACCAAGAAATTTGTTATTTCCTATTACGGTAATGAGAGATATCACCTAGTAATCCACTCTGTAATGCTGCTTTGAAGCTGTGTAATGTCAAAAGGTGCTATACAAATAAACCTGAATGACTTGAGTACATGTAAGAACCACTTAAGTTTTGGTGTGTAACGGAGGCCGGCAAGTAAGAGCTGTGCAGGTAAACCTCAGTTTCTCTCTCCTTTTCCCTATTTGGACAAAATTACTTTCAGATGAATGCAACTTTATCTTTAAAGTGACGTGACATGTGGCCAAGTATTACCCATACTAGGAATTAGCGCTCTGCATGTAACCCAGCCATTTATGCTGCGGCGCCCGGGGAGCAGTTGGGGGTTCGG